GAGAATACAAATGCTTTCTTCCTCTTCAGATATCTAATGCGGATTCTGCTGGTAAAGCAGGAAGGAAGTAAACAGAGAAAAAAAGTAAACAGGAGGACGTAAAAGGAGCAGATAAATGTGCTGTGCCATGTGTTCTAGGGACACCCTCCCTGAGCAGGGAGGTGGGACCAGAAGACCCACTGTGGTTCCTTCCAACCTGACCCATTCTGTGGTTCTGTGATTCCTTGAAATGTTTTGATGTTTGCAGGGGGGTGCGTGTAGAGCACAGTAACATCTGGTGCTCTGTAAGCACATCAGACTGATGTGGCTTATCCTGGAAACCAGATTAATGCAATAAACAGGACAATGCTGAGGCAGAAATTAGGAGCAGCTGCCCCAAGTGAGGCTGCGTGGAATGAACTGTTATGAGAAGGATTTAAGAGACAGCAGTTGAAACTAGGAAAGGTCTCTGAGGTGTCTTGCTCCTGGCAGTGTGCAGGAAGAGAAGAAATGGAGGATGTTGTATTAGCATGACACACCTGCTACATGTAAACTGTGATTTGAAAGTATGGTATATTCTGAAAGCAAGTTACTTTGCCAAAAAAATAATGTTGATAGTGCTTTGTGCTCATGTATGGCTGGTTTAGAAGAAAGTCACTTCAGCAGCTTTTGTACGGTTAAAAAGATGCTAAAATGTGAAGATTAATATAATGAGATGGACTGTAATTCTAAACAATTAGTGCTGTTAAATTCTCAATTTTAGTGTTGTTTTATGTGTATTTATTTAGTATTTTGAGTGTCCTTGGCCTCAGTGCTTGGGCAGCCTGCCTGTTTTGTGTACAGACAAGAACACTGACTTTGGGCTTTTGCATCCTTGTGGGAGAGGATACTGAAACAGGGTCCCCGTGAAGCAAACACTAACTTGCACTGTGGCTTTTTAAGCTGAGAAATTGTAAATTCCTAATCAATGAAATGAAGAAAGACTGTTTTATTACAGCTTGATGCTTTTCCTTAGCCTTTATTTCAAGTAGGTTACACAGCCCTCCCAGTGAAGGTAAAGAGGAATCTGCCTCGGGAACATCCACAGCTTCTTAAAGGTTGAGTTCTCCGCCTTTTCCCACCAGCAGTGACTTGGTCCTGCACCAGCCAAGGGTGTTTGCCAAGACAAACTGGTTTTATCTTTACTGGGATGGATGTTAAACTTCTCTACACCTCCCTCTCCCTCTCACTTCATCGCTGCTTTTTGTCCCTCCCCAGTCCCAGTGCAGCTCAAGAGGAAAGGCAGAAAGGTGTCTGCAGCCTCTGGAGGGAAGTTCAAGGATCAGCAGGTGGACAGGGGCTGTTCCTGTGGAAGAAGCTTTCCCTGGTCTGAGCAGTGGTGTCAGCACTTGCTGTGTTCAAGTCCTTTGGATGCAGCCCTCAGGCTCATCCCACCCAGAGCAGGGCCCAGCCCAAAAGGTGACTCTCGTGCTCACCTGTATTGCAGGCTAGAGTTAAAGGATGTGATGGAACACCTGCCTGCCCTCTGGCTTCCTGAGATCCTTAGAAAATCCCTTCCCCAGCATATTGTGTTTAGCAACAGAAATTCTTCAGTATTAGTAGCAGCTGTGTATTCGGGTAGAATCCCTTGAGATAAGGCATTTGCCTTTTTTTATGATGAACTCTTATTCTCAAGGGGTTAAATCATCCTGGGCTGACACTTGCAAGATTTTAACACTGATGGGGATTTAAAGTGGCTTAGCAGCTATGAAATAAAATCCCTCAATAGTGTCTGATGCTTAAAACAGAATTTAAAATATGCATGCCTTTCATTTTTTATGTGGAGGTTGTAACAAGATTCACCAGAGGTTAAAGTACATCCTTGGTACTTTAGTATGTATGGAGAGACTATGCCAAATGGCTCTAGGAGGGTCTTTATGATCTTTAAAGCACATTAATAAAAAAATTATTAGAAAAAATCTGCCTTGTATCTACAAGATCAGTGTGGCTTTGAAGAACGTGACTTGTGTTGTCTCATACAGGGAGGTGGGAAAGCAGGATTTTTTTAATCCCTCTTCATTACAACATTCCTCTGCCATATCTGAAATTAATGAATGTAAAATTGTGCCTATTTTTTTCTTGATTTCCTAAAGGTGTAAAAATCTGTTCTTGTTTTGCTTCTATCCTTTTCTTTGCAGCTAATTTTTAAAAAGTATCTTTAATCATAGGATGTGGGCATTACAAGTAAAATAAAACTTTCCTTCATGATTGTGGTTTTTTTCCTAAATTTCCTGGAGAAACATGGTAGAAACTCAGTCTTTGGTTTCTGATTTAGGTGACAGTTGGGGTGGCATGCCTGCTGCTAGTGATGGTATCAAACAGGGCTTGCTGTTCCTAGGGCTAAAAAGAGGAACTTGAAAGGTTTAAATGTAAAGTTAATGGGTTTGATTGCATGGGGAGTCTTCCTGGGTCTACTGACAAGTCCACAGATGAAGTGGGCTATAAAGTAAACAAAACAACTCCTTGTACTTTGAGCTGTGGTTGGAAACTGTGGGGTTTCATTTTTCAGATTTTTCTGTGGTGGTTTGGCTGTGTTGGGGTGTGGTGTGAGCCTGCTGTGATGAAGAGATAGCAGAAATCCCAGTGAGGAGCAGAACCTCCTAAACATTGTCCAAGTTCCTGTAGCACTTACCAGCTTCCCAAACTCTGTGAAACCCAGACTAGAGCCTGCGGGTTGGTATCAGAGCTGCCTATCTGCTGAGCAAGGCAAGAAAATCATCTTCTTGCTCTTCTGAAACAGCTACAGTGGATTTAAATACTTTCATTTTCAAACGATAGAGAAACCAGACTGAATCAGATCAGCTGTTTCTTCCACACAGTGATTAAAATTTCATCCCTACGCTTAAAAATTAAAAAAGTAAAAATGAGTCTCAGCGTTAATGCAAGCCTGTCGTGAATTCAGAAATATGCAAATTGAGTGTTCATGGATAGGAAAATTTTTGTCTCGTGCCACACCCTGATCATTAGTTGAGAGAGTTAAAAGGAGTTTATCTCAGTTTCCATGGAGTCAGACTCCACACTCATTACAGCTCCTGAGCAGCTTTGTGCTTTTTTGTGCTGAGGCACAGAGCAAAGGCTGCTCCGTGTATTGACACTTTTTCCTCCTGTTCAGGAACGAGTGGGTGAATACAGCAATGAAGCCCACAATTTTCAGTACTTGTCATGGTACATAGATCAAATGTAATCCACTCTGCCAGCATAACTCTACATTCAATAGCTTGGAAAGGAGGAGATTTATTTAACTTGAATAATGAAAGGAGTAAATCACTCATGCTCCTTCATAGCAGTCTTCTGCAATGAACTGAGCTCCTGCAGTAAATATTTTCTCTTTCTTTCCAAATAATAAGCCTTTAATGCTATTTTACTTCTTGAAATGCCAGGGAGAATGTCACCTATGAAGAGCTTGTTGAAATTAATGGGACATAATCATAATTGAAGTGGGTATATTACAACTGCACAAAAATGAATTTTCTACTCTGTTTGAAATCTTAATTAACGGATAGAAATCCTGGTCCATGTGCTTCCCTGACACAAATTAAAGGCAACCCCGTGCCTGTGTCGATCACTTCTTGCAGGCCTCTTGCGTATTTATTTTTCTGTAAGTTTTATTTTTTTTTTTAATTGAATTAACTTTGGTCATTTAGTCTGAAGGTGGCTTTGCCTTCTGAAAGCTTTTCTGTCCAATGCTGCTCCATGTTCTGCTTTTCCCCAAGCTCCTCAGGTAAGTCTTATTTCTGGCATCACCTATGGGAACATTCCTTTGGCTTGGTCTTCAAAGTGGATTATTTCAGTAGTTGAAGGTGTTTGGGTGCGAAAAAAAAGATATCACCTGGGCCAGGTGTTTGCCTGGCCTTTGCAGAATCTTTGAAGGATTTTCTGACAGGATTTAGGAAGAAATTGTTCCCTGTGAGAGTGGAGAGGCCACAGGGTGCCCAGAGCAGCTGTGGCTGCCCCTGGATCCCTGGCAGTGTCCCAGGCCAGGCTGGACAGGGCTGGAGCAGCCTGGGACAGTGGGAGGTGTCCCTGCCATGGTAGGGGTGGGATGAGATGGGCTTTAAGGTTCCTTCTCAAAAAAACCATTCTGAGATTTGATGACTTTATTCCAGGCTTTTATGTTCACGTGCGCTCATCCGCATGAAAGCAGCTCGCCCTTTACTGAGCTTAGATGTGGTTCCCAAGTGTTTATTTTAAAAAATCCCAATCTGCATTTCATTTTCAACGGCGCTTGGACATTATGAGTGAATCACTCCTGTGTGGGGCAAAGAGTAATGTGCCCGGGACAGGGCAGTGATGCTGTGATGTAGAGCTGAACGTAGTAATCCCATTTGAAGTGAGCGATTCTCATTTAAATATATATATATAGATATTTGTTGTTGTTTTTGGTTTTTTTTAACAGCAACTGGGGCGGCTGCAGCGGGGTGTGAAGGCAGACCGGGCGGAACCAGAGCGGGAACCCGCGGGCTGTCCCCACAGGGGTGTGAGTGTGAGGGAAGCCCGGGCTGTTCCCGCCAGGTGTGAGGGGAACCCGGAGCGGGTCTCGCCGGGGTGCAGGGCTGTGAGGGGAGCCCGGGCCGTTCTCGCCGGGGTCTGAGGGCAGCACAGCCCGGCCCTGCTCCCACCGAGCCCCCGCCTCAACGCCCCGCGCCCGCCGCTCTAGCGCCTCCGCTGATTGGCTGAGAACTAGCGCCAGGGCAAGCTGCTGATTGGCCCATCCGCACAGCACCTCTGGCCAATGACGAAGCGCTGTGCCGCCCGCCTTTCCTCCGACTGGCTGTGCCGCTCCCTGCGCCCGCCCGCTGCCGGGCCGCGGTGCCGGCAGCCGATTGGCTGAGGCGCTCCCCGGGCTGGATGTTTAATTGGGCGGGGTTGGGCTGCCCGGCGCCTCACCTGCCGCGCGCCGCCATTGGCCCGCCGCTCCCCGCGCCCCCGCCCATTGGCCGCACCGCCCCTCAAGAGCGCCCCGATTGGCCGTAGCGGCCCGGCCCGGTATCCGGGTAAGATGGCCGCAGTCGGGGAGTGCTCGCTGCCCGCGCCGTGGCGGCCGGTCTCCCTCACTCACGTCGAGTATCCCGCAGGTAACGCTCCGTTTCGCCGCCGCCGGGCCTTCCCACCGCGCCTCCGGGCGTGGAGGGCCCCTTCCCGCCGCCCCGCGGCGCCGCCGAGGGCCGCGCTGGCGGCTGCCAAATAGTGAGCCATTGAGCAGCAGCGCTGAGGCGGCAGGGCGCGCGTGCGCGTTGGGGGCGGCGAGGCGCTCTGCCAGATCGGGAGCCGCGGCGGGAGCGGCGTTGCGCATGCGCGGTGGGGGCTCCGGGCTGGGGGTCTGCGGGGGGGGGACGGGGAAGGGGACCGGGAATGGGCCGGGAATGCGCTGGGGGGTCGGCTCCGTCCCGGGGATCCCGGAGCCACCCGCCCTCCATTGCCGCCCTGCCCGCTCCACACCGCCGCCTCGCCGCCCCTGCAGCCCTCTGGCCATGTGTGGTGTCCCCGGCTTCGAGGCGAGGGTCCCACCCACCGTGTGCCGCTCCCCGCTGCCGCCCCAGCAGCGTGCTGGTGTCGGTGTCACCTCCCTGCTCCATATGCTGCGGGTCCGGCTCGGGGTGTCACCGTGCCAGCGGGCTCGTGACAGCCCAGGGAGCGGGGATGTGGCGGGGTAGCCGGGTCCCCGGGGCGGGCTCGGCTGCCAGGAGACTTTGGTGGCTGTGCTGGGAGTGGGGGTGGCAGGGTGTCACTGTCCCCGGTGGATCTGGTGTTTTCTTTCTGGGAGCACTTTGGTCAGCGCTGAATGCCCCGAGGACTTCAGGCACAGGGTGTTTTGTGGCTCAGCTCTTGGCAAGGTGGGTTTGAGTCCTGGCAGCGTTGAGAAGCAGTCGGTGTCTGAGTGCAGGGTGGGCTGTTCCCGCTGGGACAGCTGTGATCCACAAAGGTCCTGCACACCGGCAGCCCGACCCGGGTGAAATGAATTCCTGATGTTCCAGTGTGCAAGAGCAAATGGGTTTGTGTTCAGCTGGCATATGTCTAAACTGTGTCCCATCAATAGCTGTGGTCCTTCAGAGCTCCTGTTGGTGCTTTGTGCTGTACTGGGTTTGGGTGATTGTTATAATCAGAGTTAATAAAAAAATGGAGTGTCAGAGTTACAGTATTAACCATTTGCTTAAAATCCAAATCTTGTCTAAACACTGTTCGCAGTATCTCCAGTTGTAGTGAGCCCCCAGCTTGCTGGAAAGTATTGCTGTATGTCCTGTTTCAATAGCTGGATTTTAGTTCCTGATGAAAGCTCCTCTCAGTAGTGCAATTCCTAAAGCTTTTAAAGTGCTTAGGGATCTTCTGGGTTGAAAGTGCCCATTTAGCTAGGAGACTTGAAATGTGACAACACTGAAAAAATATCTGGCACTGGAGATACATTATTTCTTGGCCCTCCCCCTTATGGCTGTTTCATGGTATTCTGTTATGCTTTATGTGAAATACTGGCATTTCCTTTTCTGTCTTGCATTTTCTTCCACACTGTAAGCTTCTCTGCCATCCTCCTTCTCAAATATATTAATGTGTCAGTTTGGGAGAGATGGGAAATAATCTTGCCAGTAGTACTGATATATTCATCTTTATATCTTATCTCCTTATCTGAACCTGGCAGTATACACAGAGCGTCCTGTTCTCCATTTGTTGGATTGGTTTGGGAAATGAAGGTGGTGGAAATCACTGCACAAGGGTTATCTGTCAGATCTTGAACAGTGTGACATAACCTGATTATTTTCTCTCTGCGTTGAGAGCTCTTAAACAGGCAGAGGGAGGAGATGATTGTGTGGAGGGGTAAATCACTACCCAGCTTCGGGTTGTGTATGGAAGGGATGGGCACTTTATCTTGGATAAAACCTGTATTTATGAAGGCCTGTAAAGTGGGGACAAAGGACTAAATCAATAAAACAGCTGGAGGTATAAAAGTTTGTTAATTTATTTTCATAGAATCATTTAAGTTGGAGAAGCCCCTGAGATCACCGAGTCCAGCTGTTCCCCCAGCACTGCAAGGCCACCACTAAACCACATCCTCAAGTGCCACATTTACACAGTTCTTAAATCCCTCCAGGCATGGGGAGTCACCACTGTCCTGGGCTGGACAACAGTTTCTATGAAGAAGCTTCTCCTAATATTTAAATTAGACCTCTCCTGGTGCGACTTGTGACTGTTCCCTGGGAGCAGAGCCTGATGCCTTCCCCTCCTGTCAGGGAGTTGTGCAGAGCCAGAAGGTCCCCCCTGAGCCTCCTTTTTTCTCCAGGCTGAGCCCCACCAGCTCCCTCAGCTGCTCCTGGTGCTCCAGACCCTTGCCCAGCTCCGTTCCCTTCTCTGGACATGCTCCAGCCCCTCAAGGTCTTTCTTGTTGTGAGGGGCACAAAACTGACCCCCGGATTGGAGGTGAGGCCTTAGCAGTGTCCAGCACAGGGAGACTTGGTGTCATCAGTGAACTATCTGAGAGTGCACTCTATCTACTTGTCCAGATCATTCATAAAGATATGAAACAGAACCTGCCTCAGAACTGAGCCCAGCCTCAGCTGGATTTAGCTCCATTCCCCACCAGTCTGTGCCTGGACAGGTTTTTTTACCTGAAAACAGAGCACCCATCCAAGCTGTGGAAGTTCTTCAGGAGAATCTGTGGAAAGCAGTGTCCAAGGCTTTATTAAGTCCAGGTAGACAATATTTTGGTCTAAAATAATGACTTGCAGTAAATGGTAGGTCTGATGCTTTTACCTGGATTTGGGGAAAGTGCTCTTAACTTTATTTAGAAAGCTGTTTGTGTTCAGCCTGGGCACATCTAAAGTCCAGGTCCATAAAGCATCTAGATAATGTATATTTATAAAGGAGTGATGTTGGCAGCATGCTCAGCACAGTGGAATTAATGTAGCCTTGTGCTGCTGAGAGGGGTCGGAACGAGAAATAGATCCTGCTTTTACCAACATCAATTATTAAACTGTCTTTGCATGTCATGCACTGCTCTATGGCAAATAGCTTCAGCTCTTGGCTGATCCCAGAGGCTGCTGAACCTCTGGAAATCTCCCATCTTTAAAGATCTCCTGTGCAGAACCCCAGCTTTCATGTGCCATGGGTGATGGTTTGCTCCTTGGGACCGGGTAAAAAGCTGTCACTGCTGATTTCTGCCTTGCAGACGAAGCCAGGATTTGGGCTTCTGCTTCTAATTGTGAAGGGGAGAGGTGTCTCCAGAAAGGTGCTCCCTGTTCTTCTGATCTAATGTTTCCTTATCAAGGGTGATACATCAAATCCATCCTTAGCTGCTTGTGTGGCTGCACAGCTCTCCAGGGCTTTCTGTGATGTCCACTTTGAGAAAAATAAATGAGAAACAGCAAATGAATGCTGTGGTAATCAACTGCAGACTGGTCTGAGGAATGGAATCTTGGAGACCTGACTGAAATACTGCCCATAGGGAATGTTAGGATTAAACAGGGAGAAAAAAAATCAGCCATGGCAGTGCTGCCTGGGTGTGCTAAAGCACGCTGCTGCAGAGGACAGCCTGTAAAAATATCATCCTGATGCTGCTTTCAGAATTTTTTGATCCTGGAGCATTTCATATTACCAGCTCTGCTTTGGTGAGACCAAGGGATGATCTGGCATAGTGTCAGGTTGCTGGCAGGTAGGCAGGAATAATCCTTCTTCCCTATGTCCTTCCAGTAATGAGCTGGTGATTGCATCAGGACTGTGAAGTCCTTTGATGGATGTATAAAAGCTGCATCTCTAATTGTTCTTTGAATCCATTTCTGCTTTGGATCTCACGATATCTTTGGCACTGAGCTTTGTAGCTTAATGTGGTTGTTGTTTCTTTTCTAAGTCCGCTGCTCAGTAATTTCATCAAACACTCTCTCGTGCAGTGAGAGGCAGCAATTGTTTGCTGTCAGTTTCTCCATATAATTCAGGACTTTATAGAACTGTTGTATCATCTGTTTTCCTTTTTCAGCTGAAAATCTGGTTTATTGGATGTTTTCTGAATGGCTGCTGTCGCATACTTATCTTTGTCCCCATTCTATTTGCCTTTTCTGTGTGTACTCTCCCTTTTTAGCTGGTGACACCAGAATTGCATAATAAATTTTTGTAGTGCTGTAACAGTAACTTCTGTTGTGCTCTTAAAAATGTTCTTGCCTTTCTGACTGCTGCAGAGCACTGGATGTTACTCTGAAGGTATTGGCATACACTGAGTCTGAGAGTTTTTGTTTGATAACAACTGAATTAAATCCTGTCATGTCATGGGTATAATTAGGGTTGTTTTTTCCCGTATGCATTGCTTTGCATGGGATGACTTTGTGCTGCAGACTTAAAACTCATCTTCAGGGACTTCCTGCCTGTAGGGTGAGTTTCACTGGAGAAACATTGAGTTCCTGGTTTGTTTGGGTTTTTTATTATTATTTGGAGAAAAGAAAGAAAACTTCCTCTCTTCAGTGCAGCTGGGATTCTTAGAGCTCTGGGACTTTCTGGACCTCCTCACACTGGACAAATTCTTTAAGGAGAGAAACCTGGTGTGCCAAACCTTTTTTCTGCAGAATGACAGAATATTCCAATTTTCCCAGTTTCTTCAGGATGTTTTCTAGAGCCAGACAGAGTTGGAGGGGCAGGTATGCAGAATCAGTCAGTGAAAAGGCTCAAAGGTGCTGGTGCTGTGTCTGTGCTTTGGCTCAGCAGTTCTTGTTGCTGTTCAGTATCAGCACGTGCAGCTCCTATAGGAATGTTTGTTCTGATAACCCTCCTGTGATTCTGTGCGGGGTGGGAGCTCACAAGTCAGGGCTCATTCCATAGCTAAGCTGTATTTCTTGGAAGAAGCAGTTCCCATTCGTTTGGCTGCATTAATGCAGGGTTTATGTTTAATCTCCCTGCAGAAGTTTTGTCTGATTCCTGCCTTTATGCCATCATTGAAAGCCTCCTGCAGATATTTTTGCTGTCCCACAGCTCGTGTTGTGGGGAATGCGCAAGCAGAGGAAATGACTCTTTTATATCATGAATATTTAGTAATGTAAATGCCCATGACACACATACACTGCATGTTGTCTGTGCAACTTGCACATATGCACTCAGCCAAGAACACACAACCAGTGGCAGTGCCACAAATAGATCCTTCAATAGGAAGTGGCAGTGGCAAAACTCAGTCTTGTGGTAGGATGTGGTTGGGGGCTGTTGATTCACATTTTTGCATCCTATACAGGTTAAGTAGATGTGGTGAAGCTCAGCTATTTCCACCGACAGGATGCTGGGTAAAATGTTGAATTGGAGCAGAAGTAGATTCTGAATGAAAGCTGAAAAAAAAATAGCATGTATCTGAGCTATGTATAGTGCTACATGTACTTATCTCTTGGCTGCCCAAAAATTAGGTAGTTTCATCCTTTAGTTTTGCTTTTTGAGCTCCAAATAATGTCCAGGGAAAGTTGGACTTCAAAAAAGCATAATATAAAACTATATTAAGTAGATCTGCCTTTTGTGTTGTTGCAGAGATTTTTGTCTCTGTTCCTGCTGGTGGAAGAACTGCTTTAAAATTCCCAAGTTCTGTAAATTAAAGAAAAATTAATTGCTATTAAAAAAGGCAGGGGTGCTGCTTGCTAGATCTGACTGGACTTTAAACTGTGGCTCTCCTGCACGTCTCCTTTCCCTGGGAATAAGTCTGGGAGCTCACTGGAGCGTGAGAGGAGACAGGAGTGACAGAAGCAATCACGCTCCAGGGCCCCTGGAGCACTGAGTGCTGAGCAGCGCTGGCCTTTCTCTCAGAGCTCACTTTGCTTCCTCCACTGGGGATTTCCAGTCCTTTCCGAGCTGCTTCAGCCACCGAAGCTGTGCCTTGAGCTGCTGGTCCAGTTTGTGATGGCATCAGTGTGTTCCTGAGATAGCTCCAGTTAGTGCCCAGCTGTTTATTTGCCTCCTCTGTAGAAATAGTGGCCTCAGAACGTGACTGTGTTTAATTGCCATTAGCCACAGGAACACGGAGTATTATTAGTGATGTCTGCTCTGTTTTAAATGGACCACTGAAATGTTTGAGGAGCTTTTGTGTTTAGATTGAGTAAAGGGCTTGGTGCCTGTAGGCACATCTGGGAATGACGGCTCCCCTCTCAGGTGTGGTTTTTGTGCCTGTGAAGGCTGTGATTTGATTTATTGGAAATAGTACCATGTAACATAACAGCTATTGCTGATCCTATTTAAGTGAAAAGACTACTTCTTAAGTACCTTTCCACCATCTGCACAAGAAATAGAACTCCCTGAAGAAGATAAATAATCTGGTTTGATTTCTACTTGACAAAATTATGGCTTCTAGTGTGGAAGTGCTAAGCCTTTATGTACCATGGATTAACAGAGTGAATGATCTGAAACATGATCTTGATGATGAACTCTATTTGGTAATGCTGGAATTGAGATTGTTGGAAAGTATTCCTAAGGCTTTCAGGGTAGTTTAATTGTCTCTTGACAAGGTGACTTCTCTCGTGAATTCCCTCATTACTGATGACAGAACTGATTTTGTTGGGAGCTTGTGATTTATGTAAAACCATGAGGGGCTTCATTTGCTATTGCCAGGTAACTGGTACTGTCACTTACATCCCCTTTGTGTTACCATCGCTTTGGGAGCGTTTAGAATGCACTTGATGCAAGAGCAACCTGCCATATGGAGCAAGGAAAGTTTCAAATTCAGTGTCTTCCAATACTTTTCAGATTAAAATCAAAGCAGCCCCTCACTTCACTGGAAAGTCAGTGCACTTGGGGGTTTGTCCTCTAAATCTTCCTCCTTTCATCTAACTCCTGCTAATAATCATTGCTGCTGGTTCCCTGATTTAACCCACTTTGGAATTCCAGAGGCTTCCATGCATTATACCTGATGTAACCACAACTATGTGGCAATAACATCAGCAGTGTGAACTTTGTTGTAAAGGAGCAATCACTGTTTTTTTTTATCAGTTCCAGCACTCAGAGGCTGGGGTTAAAGTCCTTTTCACCAAGTGCTGCTTTGAAATGTGGGTGCGTGGGCTGGGGAGACTCGATGTCTTGCAGTGGAATTGATCTAGGAATGAATCCAATGCTCAGCCCTGCAGAGGCATCCTGTTTCCTTTTGAGAGGAGGGAAGAAGGACAAATTTATGAGGACAAATTTATTTTGTGTTCAGTGATGGGATGGGGAGGATCTGGTCTGTGAGAACCAATACACAAAATACCCATCTCTTCTGTTACTTGCTGGGCTCATACAATGAGTTTTTGTTGAGTTCTGTATTTAAAGATTGATTCTCTGACAGACAGTTCTTGCTCTTCTGATACAAATTGCTGATCTTGGAGCAGAATTGCTCTGATAGTTTTTTTGTCTTGTTGGAATTTGTGCTGACATCTTTTCTCCAAATACTTCTGCGTGCATCCCTTTTTGGGGAAGAGAGGCAAGAGAAACTTGTATCAAAATGCACAGCTGCTCCTTGCTGTTGCTGCTTGCTTCAGTGTCTGTTATGGTTCAGAATAAAGGTTTTGAGGGACCTTATGACCCCTGTGAGGTCCCATTGCTGCTCCCTGATTCTCTCTGGGGGATAGCTAGACTGTTAATCATTTGGGTTGGAGGCCCAAATCCCCTTCTGTGTGGTACAAGTGGGCTACTGGTTAAAAAGGCAGTGTCTCCTTTATTTCCCTGACATCTCCTGCTATGTTTAGCTGTTTATTTCCTTCCCATTTTGCTAATGCTAGTGTTCATGCAGACACATGGTGAGACAGATTAGGAAGCTGATCCAGCTGAAAACTAACCCATTTTAGTGAGGGAGTGGGAAAGGATTTGTTTGGGGACTGTTTGCTGGCACAGAGAAGAAATAGGAACGAGGGGAAGGGAAAAGGTGCTGCCTTTTTTGCAGCAGCCTCTGCTCGTGTTGGATTAAAGTGGCTCTGGGCCCACACCCATGGTTATTGTTGTAAATTGGGTGGCAGTAATCTCTGCTGAATGATGCCAGGCTTCTCTCATCCCTGATTTTGAGCCTGCGTGGAAGCACTGCTGTCTCCCTGCCTCAGCTCCTCTGTCATTCTGGAACACAGGGACTTGCTGCACTGCTCAGTTTGCCCCTTTGCTCTGTGGTGCAGGGCTCTGACTGACCCATGCTGTGGTGGCAGGCAAGTACCTGTGAAGTTCAAACTGATTTGTTTCTCTTGTTTGTTTCCCCAGGTGATTTCTCTGGCCAGCTTTTAGCTTATTTGAGTCTTGGTCCAATATTCATTATTGTTGGCTTTGTAACACTCATCATATTCAAGAGAGAGCTTCACACGGTGAGTCCTTCTCTCCCTTCCCAGCCTCTCCTTATGACTAAAGTCTTTTCCTTTGTCACCTGGGGCTCCTGTATTCACACTTCTTTTTCTCTCTGTAAGGAGCAAGCAGAGGAAAGCCATCGTCCTGTCAGGGAACAGCAGGAGACACTTAGCACCCATGCCAGGTTAAAAGGCTGCTTAGCCTTTTATGACTTCTCTGTTACTCCGCTGTGTTTTGGACATTATCTGTCCAGAACCATCGAGGGAGATGTCTGAGGAAGTACAGAATGCTGTTGCAAAGTGGGAACTCTCCCAAGATCCAGTAGGATCATAGCACTGGGCAGCATATGCAGGAAATGGTGTGTGTAACTCAGGGGGATGCACTTTCTTTGAACTACTGAGGCAGAAAAGGGGATAAAAATAAAACCTACAGCTTTCCAAGGGAGTGGATTTATCTTTAAGGGCTGCTTTTCAAATGTGAGCTGAAAACCAGGGGCAGAAGAGACTTGTTTCAATCCAAATTCGTACAATGCTTTCTATCTGCTCTGCCAGGTAGTTGGGAGTCAGTGTCATGGATAAACTCCCTCTAGGACATGTAAATCTCTTGTAATGTTTGTCCTCAGCAAACAGATAAAACAGGGGCTACTGAAAGGATTTTGACAGCACATTTTGAATGTAGGGCCACAGTGTCATGGGAACCAGTGGCCCAAGGGACCTGGGAATAGGACATTTAACTAGGGAAGGCAGCTGTTCAGCTTTGGTAACCCAAAGGTTTTGTGTTGGCCCGAAAGAGAGAAGAAGGCAGAGTAACAATTGCACAGATTTGTAGGTTTCTCAATACAGGGATTTGTCTGGTGTTGGTAACAAGACAAGTGTTGAGGTTGAGTCTCAGTTCTTCACGTGGGAAGCCACCACTGGGCTGGAGAGAGACACTGGCTGACTTGCAGCAGCCTGAGCTGTGGCTCAGGATGTGGAGTGAAAAATTGCTTCATCATGTGGAATGGGAGTGAGTGCTAAGGAGGCAGAGTGTCATCACCAGCTGGGAATTTGATCACAGCAGCAGGACTAATTTAGGGAGGTGTATGAACTGTGAAGTTAAAGAGTAAAAATAAATGCTACCAGGTCTGGCTTAGCTCAGAATGTGAATTCATCTTAGACTGAAGACAGCAGCTTCAAGATGAAAATACTAATAGAGGGAAAAGCCAGAATTCTAAAAAGTCACCTTTGTTTTAAACTATTTACCCAAATAACAGTGTCTGCACTCCCCCTGTTGGTCATTGGGAAAAGCCAGTTCCCAAAAACCTGCCCTATTAAAAAGGTCACTTTCTGCACTTGCTGGTGCAAGATCTGGCAGAAGTGCTCTACTGTGTCTTTTTTTTCTTTCTGTGTATCAGCTGCTGAAAAGCTGCACGTACACAATGTGTTGCCAAATAGAAAGTGAGCTGAAAAGAAATGCTTCTCTTCCTCAGGTGTAGAATTTGGAAGTCATTGTTTTTAACTGTAGTAGTCAAAAAAGAAAATTAGAAACATAACGTTTGGGGTTTTGTCAACAGAGAGAGCCTGGTAAGTAGAAGGATCTCTTAGAGGGGGTGACACAGCTGTCTTGCCTTCACAGATCTCTTTCTTGGGAGGGCTGGTGTTCAACGAGGGAGTGAACTGGTTAATAAAAAATGTAATCCGGGAGCCTCGGCCGTGTGAAGGTAGGGTATGGACCACGAGTGTGGTGGTGTCAGGGGAGTTTGGGTGGAATGGTCACTGCGGGGGTTAGAGGGTTTTTCTCCCTTTGCCTCACTTTGGCTGTGGATGTTTGGGTGTAAAAAGGCTGCTGGAGCCACCTGAGCAGGGACGTGTCCTGTGAGCTTTGTGCATGCTCCAGCAGCGTGGTCTGGCTTCATATCTGGAGTGTTCCAGCTGCTGACCATCCCCTGACCATACTTTTTTTTTCTTCTCTTCCCAGAAGCCCATTCAACAGTGACCACAAAATACGGGATGCCGTCCAGCCACTCCCAATTCATGTGGTTTTTCTCTGTCTATTCCTTTCTGTTCCTTTATTTAAGGTAAAAATTCCAGGTCAGGTTTTGGCTGTTAATATTCTGAAACACCTGATATGGGTGGCTCCTTTGCTGGGTGCCACTTGAGTGGGATAATGGAATTAAATTTGAGGACCTGCAAAATTTATTGTGGCTCAGGTGGGATTGGAGCATGCCTGTCTCAATCTGAATGTAGGGCTGGTGTTACCATGGCTGAAAACTGGAGGATGTGAGTGGGCTTCCTTTTAGCTCTCAGGGTCTCCCAATTTTCTTTTTCCAAGCTGTGGGATGGTTCCCCAGTGTGAGGGAAGAGGTGAGGGATTGGGAGGAGAAATGAAAAGCTGCTTTCTCATTTTGTCTCAGTTTCAGTGGGGTTATCTGCAATGTTTTGGATCATACCAGCTGTTCTCTTGCATGACTTTTTAGTTGACTTCCCGTATCAAGTACTGGGTTTACCTGTGCTTTAACAGAATTCTTGCTGGGGCATGGCTCTGTCTTGTGGCTCTATGTGTGGAGGAAAACAAAACTCACAGTTCCTCCTGGCTCTGTGGGTGATGGAGGAACTGTCTTGGCTCCCTGTTGCATATGCTCAGCTTGTGCCTCTCACATCAGTGTGAGCATCCTGCCTTCCTTCACAGCAATCCCTGTTCACAGCTGGAGAGAAACAAATGTGGCTTCTTGGCTGCTCTTTAACTGCTGCCAGTGGGACAAATTGCTGCTGGGATGGGATTGAGCTGCCCAGGACCCCAGTGGAGTAAAGCTTTCCTAGGGTTTTAGAGGGAGGGAGGTCAGGACTGCTCAGCTCCCTGCCCTGTGCTAATGGCTCTCCATCTCTTTCAGAATGCACCAAACAAACAATGCGAGGTTTCTGGATTTACTATGGCGACATGTGCTGTCCATCTGCCTCGTCACAGTGGCTTTGCTAGTCTCATATAGTAGGTATGGAGCAACTGTTTGTCTTCTGCTCTCATACAGCCTCGTGGCCTGTCCCAGCCAGCAGCCCTGGCATTCCTTCCCCTGCCTTTCCCACCTAATTCTTCACTGTGCCGTGCAGTCAGAGCTTTGTAGAAGTGTTGCCGTGAGACCAAATAAACAAAGGTGCTGCGTGTGTGGTGCTTCACAGAAGCATTTACAAAACCCCAAATCAGCTGAGCTTGTGCCAGTTCCCCATGGGCTGCAGTGCCATGCTCCATCCAGCCTTGCTGCCTCACCCTATTCCCAGCACTAAGTGTGGAAGCATTGCCCCATGCCTTGGCACAGCAGCATCTGCAGCATGTGGCTTGCTACAGTTGATCAATGCCATTGTTTTGCTTGAGCATTAGTTAATCAAAACATTTACAGCTGTTGGCTTGCAAGATTTAGTTGTACTAAGATGGATTAAGAAAATGGAACTGTGATCATGATTTTTTTTTTCTTCAGTAGATTAAGTATAAAGTGAGCTCCAGTGATTGGAAAAACAGACAAATTCAATCTAGAAATAGGGTCACATTTTCCACAGGAAAGTAATTACCTATTGGCACAGTTGACTGTGCACTACAGCTGATTACTTATTACTAATTATTTTTAAATCCTGACAGGACAAATTTGTCAGAGGTATATGGTCTAATTACAACAAAATTAGAGGAAATCAAGTGGTCAGCTAAGATGATCATAATGATATATAGGCAAAAAGACTTTTGAATGCAGCTTATGCACACATAAAACAGGCCAACAGTGCAGCTCTGAGTGGCTGCAGTCACAGCGAGCACATTGGTCATACAGCCTCTGTGTCTGTCACGTTAGAGAGCAGCAAAATCACACACAAAAAAAAAAAATGCTGTCCATGTTCTTAAAAGCCTTTAAGCCCCAGCTTTGGTGGCCTGGAGAGGACTTGTCCTGTTACTGCCTTTGGAAAAGTGTCTTGTGGGAACTAACAGTATTAGTTCTTCATCTGATCCAAAGATGGATGAAGAAGAATGTGGAGGGCTCATGAGTTAAGCTCAAACTAGAAGTGCTCCAAGCTGAAACTGCTGTAGCAGGGAAGAATTTTCCCCAGTTTTTCCCCCTACTATTTTTGCCAGCTTTTTACTGAGAAAAGACATCCACTTTTAACATTTGGAGGATAACTTGCACCCATATCTGTAGGTCCAGTGGCACTTCATTTTCTAAATCTTGGTTCCTTTAATTTTAAAGCCTGTCTGGTGACTCTTCTCTTCCACTGCAGGGTTTATTTGCTTTACCACACCTGGAGCCAAGTCCTGTATGGAGGTGTGGCAGGGAGCATCATGGCCATAGCCTGGTTTGCCTTCACACAGGAGATCCTAACTCCCCTCTTCCCGAGGATAGCTGCGTGGTAAGTCTCTTTATTCTGTGGAGGTTTGTTATGGATGTTAGAAATGAGAATTCCTGGGCTCTGTCCCAGTTTTGCCTGCTGGCTGTTGTGTAACCTACTTTGTTCCTCCATGTTTTCTTGTGTATGCATATATACAAAGGAGCATGTGTCCTTGATAAGGATGAGGAAAAGGGAATTCAATCAATTGTTACATTTTGTAAAGCCCTGCTAAAGCTGTGAGGTGTGGCAGAGTGCTGGAGATTTGCAAGATAAACAGCAGACCTTTCCTAATGAATGTCTAATGACATAGTCAAATTGCAGAGTTATTTACATGTAATGTAGCCTGGAAATACTGTATAAGGAAAGAAAAAATGTTTTAAATGTAAGAAAGAATCCTTTTCACAGCCTCAAGTGATAGAACAGTACTGTTAACTAGAGCAGGTTTTGTGGTTTTTTAAAATCAAAATTGTATTGGAGAAAGTCTAATTATTTCCCCCTTTCCACCACAATTTCTTTTTTCAGGCCAATTTCAGAGTTCTTTTTAATCCGAGATACCAGCCTCATTCCTAACATCCTGTGGTTTGAATATACAGTCACGAGAGCAGAAGCAAGGTGAGTTCTGTTGGGAGTGGAGGAGCTGTTGCTGCTCTGACCTTTCAGATGCAGTCATTAATTAATTTTCTGATCTGTAGTTGATAATTTTGGCTGCTGTGGGTAGAATAGCTCAAAGTAAAGAAATACCAAGTTGTGGATTAACGACCGCACCTGAAAGGTGAATGTGGCGAGGGTGTGATTCAAGAATTTAATCTCATTTGAGTATCATTTCAGCTCCCTGGCTCATGGTTTTTACAAGCAGTTGTTTGTAATCTTGCATCCACACGTGAGCCTGTGCACACTGGAGATGGGGTGGATGTTCTGGGAGCCTGGAGAGAGGGAAGGGCTGATCTGCCTGGCAGGCAGGGGCACTTCGGTTTTGTGCAGAGCTAAGCAGAGGTGTACTTCAATCCTCCTGTAATTCCCTGTGGTTTGTTGCAGCCCCCTGGGCTGGGCTGGGGTCACCTGTGTCACCTGTGTGTGTCACCTGTGTCACCTTGCAGGAACAGACAGCGCAAGCTGGGTACGAAGCTCCAGTGACGGAACGTGGGGACCAGGACACGTTTAACGGAGACAGACAAGAGCAGAGACCTGGGAGCAGCAAGGAGCCTTTTAACAGACGGACCAAAGGAACAGGCAGGGACCATACCCAAAACCTGAAAGCCTTTGCTCTGCTTTAGCAGCTAAGCTGGATGCTCCCTGATGCATGTGGGACCGTGCAGGAGTAGAAACTCATTTTGAACACAGATGCACATGGTTGGATGTACCATCGTGTCTACGTCAGGGGAGGGGGGAGAAAATGCCTGGTGTCGTGTTCGGGGGAGGGAAAACCAAAAATGAATCCTTTCTGTGACTTTTTTTTTCAGCATGAAATATACACACTATTTATTTATTTTTTTAAATGGAACTATTGTTTATGGGGTGGGTGAGGTGTTGATTGTGTGTTTTGCTTTTTTTTTTTTTTTTTTTGGAAGAAGATGACAAAACTAATTTCAAGTTGATCATGTTTAATTAGGGCTTTTAATTCTTACATGCTTCTTATGAGGGAGGGGATCTAGGAGGGATGGCATAGACAGAAGGAAGACTTTCCTTTCTGCAGTCAGTTTGGGAGATCAAAATCAATTCCAACTGTACTTTGTACAGACAGAAAGACATCCCATAAAGATCTGATTTTTAACACTAGTGACAGTTCTGCAGGGAAGCCTGCATGGATACCAATTAAGGGGAGTGTGTGTGTAAAACAAAGGAAAAACACAAATATACTGACTCTTATTTTTTTTCCACTGCTGCTCCTGTTGTGTAATTAGCAAAAGTGTCCTTTTCAGAATCTCTTCTAGGTGGCAAGATTATCATACGTATCTCACATTTATTCCATCTCTTCTTTTATAATTTTATTATCTCAGGGTTGCTGTGATCTGTACAGCTTTTGTTGTACTGAGTGTGCCGAGGGCACTGGGTAGGCCCTTGGTTATAAGCAGTGCTGTGCTCCAGTAAGAGTCAGCCCAAAGCCTTACAAAATTCACTTGCTGGTCTCTGTCTTAAGCACTGGAATTTTTAATTTTTTTTTTCTGTTAAAGCGTAAGGGAGAGATTTTTAAGAATGAACACAATGACAACCACAATGAAAAAACAACTACAATGAAAGAAATGAACAACAAGGCAAATGACTAATAACTAGCTCAGCTGCTCTCTGAATTATTCCTTTAAGAGTCCTGTTAGACTCCATTCATGAACTCCAAGTAGGGAACTTGTCCTAGCAGAGGCTCCTGCAGTTATCACAGGAGCTTGGTCGGGGTTCTGCAGCTGTAACCTTGAATGCTGAACTCCTACAAGCAAGTTTTGCTTTCCATCCTTCTTCCATTGCAATTCCCCGTGGATGCTGTGTCTCTGTGGGAGTGTGCCTGCCATCTCTGTGTGCTGGTGATGCCTACGACCTCTGTGACCCATGAGTTCACCTGGCAAGGGCTATACTCAAAGTGCTTCAGGGCTGTGCATGGACACTTTCTGTATTTCTAATATATAATGCAGCAGTTCAAGTGTAACTACAGAGAAGTATTTATTCAAAGCACAATTGACTTGAACTTTCACAGATAAAGGACAGCTTCTGAACTGGCTCAAAGGTCATCGGTGTGCCTTCGATGCAGTCATGAGCAGAGGTAAAATGACTGTCACATCTCAGTCTTGCTGCCTGTTTTACTATCTCCACTTAATCAGACTCCTGCATTATAAAGCTGCTTCAAGTGAGATTTTTTTTTTTTCTGTTCATCCCGGTTATTTTTTTCTTTTTAAGTTTTCATCTGTGCCTGTTGCTATAGGAGTTTGTGTGTTTGTGTGGAGTGGGAGCTGCTGTTGGACACCCAGAGTGTTAACTGTAGAAAGTGATCCTGATCCAGGAGATCAGGAATGAAGGCTGTTTAAATTTCTGTATTCAAATGGCTGTGGGTAGTAAATTAACTGTTTTCAGTTGGTACAGCAAGTATATACATACATTTTAAAAGAACTGTTTAGTACTTGCATTAACATAAGCAATCCTGTAACATCTGAGGGACCTGAGCACTGGATCTGCTTTGAAGGTGCATCATAATAAAGAGGCATCTTGCAGCTTTCACAAGGACATTTGATCTGCCTTAGTCCAGCTCTGTTGTGATGAGACAGGACATCAGATAGGTCCCATGACATGGTGGTGCCATATGTTTCAGCTGGAAAACTGGTACTTATGTCTTGCAAAACCATTCATTTTCTCTTTGTATCTCTTGTAAGTGAACTTACAAAGCCAGAACAGAGATCACACCTCTCTTCCCCAAGGCTGCTGAAGGAGTGGAGTGGATTATTTCAGGAGTGGCTTAGCACTTCCCCAGCCTCTCGAGCTGTTATGACAGACTGCTGGAAAAAATAAATATGGAAACAACTACTGAGCATAGGGAAAAGGGTTCATCTCCTCATGGACAGCAGGGCAGTGTAAAAAGCTGTTCCACTTCAAGTTGCCTTCAAACCCAAGCTTCCTATAGTTATCCTTAGGAGTGAGGAAGAAGAGCTCTTGTAAGACACTGTAATAAACTCTTCTCTGTTCTCTGAGTTGTTTGTAATCTGCATCTTCTGCCTACTTTTGCTGTACCTTTTCAGAAATCTTTGCAATACTTGGTATACAGTAGAATTTCCTTAGTGATTCCATGGATTTTCTTAACTAAATGGTGCTGTGCAGGAAAAAGATTTGAGCTCTGCCTTATTATCCTACACTTGTATGCAGTCTCCTGCCACTAGTTTTCTGAAATTGAATATTTTCTTTGGAATATGTGGCTTTGCAAATAGATGCTTTCTTTTCCTCCCCTATACTCAAGGGGGCTGGATGGAGATATGACAATAAAAGGAAGGTGACAGAATGCTGTGGTTCCCTGTTCTTGCTATCCCCACACAAACATTGTCCCACTAAGGGCAATTATGTAACTTCTGCAGTGTTTAAGGAAATTTAAGCCTTTTTGTAGCATTTATCTGTTTATTGTGTCCCAGTTTATTCAACAAACGTTTCCAAACTTTGCATGACACCGATCCCACTACCCAACAGTATTTAACACAGCTAATCAGCAAAACATGCAACCCTACCAGGCTGTGTTAAAAATTGCACTCATAGGCCAAGAGTTATCTGAATATTTTTAGTCTATGAATTTCTGAAATAATTTGTTCCAAATCAGTCTTTTTTCTGGAGCTTTAGTTTCTTCTACTTAACTGTGCCTTTTAGTCAATGGACATCTCTTGATAAAACAATCAGAAACAGGGAGAACAGTATTCACTAAGTCAACACTGAAAAAATCTAGAAGATACAAACCAAAAGGACAGTACATTTTAGAACTTGTACTATAAGAAAAGACTTTTTAAAGGAAAAACCTTGTAATGATTTTAGTGTCCTTTCAAACACTTTAAAAATCAGCCTCATTCATCTGAATTTCAGCTTTGTGCATCAGTAAGGATGCATTAGGTGGTTTATGAATCTTGTATCTCTTTGTCTGCTCCCTGCAGCTGTACTCTTAGTACAGTATCCCACAGCTGAACTAGTGAGATATCCAGAATAGATCAATCCCATCTTTTGAGGTACAGTCCTCAGCAGCACATGCTTAAGTCTTTAATAGGCACTTTGCTTTGAGAGCCTTCCCCTTTGAGGCAGAAGTGGAAAAGGGCCAGTCTCAAATACTTCAGTGGCACTGCTTGTGCTTGAAGGCATTGCAGACATGGAAAAAGAATTCATCCCCTAGCAACAGAGGCGGATTCAGTATGGGGGGAGGATTACTTGGGCAAAAGGAATATTTTTTTTCCATGTAAAAGGCTCCATAAATCCAGATGTTATTCCAGTGAAGTTTGTTCTTGTCTGTAGTATTTACACAATCAGAGTTTGATAATACTGAGTATCCTCTTGCAGTTTTCAGTCTGATTGATACTGAGGAGTCACTAGAGCAGAGGTTTCTGCTTGCAGGTCTGTAGTGCTCCTATTCATGTTTTTAGGCTGTCTCACTCCATTCAAGATTTTCTAAAAGATCAACTAAATCCATGTAGATCATGTGAAAGTGGCAGTTCAATCAAGTTCAATACAATCACTGGCTGTGCAGGTGAGTTTCAATTAAGTTTTCCTCTTTTAAGGTTTGTTATTAGGTATAAGATAAAAGCTTTGAAATAACATCCTTTCAGGAAAAAAATGCCGAAGCATTGGCTTGTATCTTTAGAGAAGCAAATTAGAATTATTTTTTCTTCTTTTACTTTAAAAATATTTAGTGCAAATTTCTTCATACATGTTCATCAAGGCACTTTGATCATGTCCCTTGCAATTATTTCCCTGTTAACAAAACAGGCCATCACACTCGTAATGCTTCTTATTTATGGTGACATCTCAGCAGACACATCTTGAAGGGTGTGCAATTTAAATACAGAATTCCTACTGCAGAAATAGCACTAGAATTCTTTATTACCATATGGTAATATAGTTTATTTTTACTAAATAAAAGTGTAGTCAGGATTCTGACTTGGTTCTGACAGATTGGTTGGAAGTTCCTATGCTACCATTGTATGTTAATATTTATATATAAACTTTTACTGTCTCAAGTTTTTCAACTGGACATAAAAACAGTATCATATGAGATCATTCTCTCACAGAATAAAGCTGGCACAAATTGGAGTAATATTTCAGTAAGAAATAACTCCCCAAAGTGGCAGAAAAGGTGCTGTGCTGTTACTGCAGGAACAGTGGCTGCCACAGTGCAGAAAAAAACCTACAGGTCCATGTGTACTCTGCTTTCTCCCCGTTTTTCAAGATTTTTTTGCCTTGTTACAGCAGAGTGATGTGAAAGAAGGGTTTCTGCAGCTGTTTTTCCTTTGGCCTTTAACAGATTTCAGCTCTGTGGGCCAGGAATGGAAGCATGTTCTAGAGTTCCTGTTCAGAAACATCCTTATTTGTCCACAGCTCAGGCATAACATTGTGCACAAAAATGGTGTTTCTGAAAGCAGGGTGTAAAACCACATTGGGTTAATGTGTGTGTGCCTGAAGGACATCAGGCTTGTTAGTGAACAGAGTCAGCATCTTTTTCTTTTCCTCAGCTCCAAAGAAAGGTACAATAGAGGAAGGGTCCTGCTAAATGCATAGGAAATCCCTTCTCATCTCTGCAGATGTGAAGGTACATAAAGCCAAAGCTGGAAAAACTTACATGAGGAGAGTTTTGTAGAAGCTTTATGGGGAAAAGCTGTAGGCTGGAAGATCAGTGGTAGGACTTTGGCAGGAAGCTTAACAAGAAGTCCAGAGCAAGATCAACAACAAAAAAAAATAACCTGAAACAGTAAAAATCACCTTAGTTTCTATTGAGTCATGTTCTGTTGTTAAGAGGGTCAGTGTAAGAGGAACAAGATCCCAATGTCCTGAACAAGGGGAAGGGAACATTCCTGTAAAGCCTGTACTGGTTGGAGTGTCTGGGATAAGTAGTGCAGTGTACTCTTAAAGAGACTGGATCTGCTCTGGATTAACTTCCTTCTCCCCTTGCTGAAGTTGAATGATGAAGTTTTGCTGCAGCAGTAGAAAAATCTTCAGTCAAGATTGGAAGATGCTCTTCAGAAGATGAAACCAGGAAAAAGACTTGGTCTTACAGTAGTTCTATCATACAAGAAGCATTCCCTGCTTTTCACGGACAAGAACCACCTTCCTCACCAAATGGATTTAGATGCTGGTAAGGACTGCTTTCTGTATTCCCTTACAGTAATTTTCATAAAAATCATATTTGAGTCTTTGAGGACAGGAAGGTGCATTTTGCATTGATGGGAGAAGCCCTGTCAGGTCTACTTTGGTTTGAGACAGAGTTTCCTCTCACTACAGAGTCTGGTATCTGCACGTGGCTCTTCTGTAAATCTTGCTGAAAACACATGGTAGATATCTTCTTAGGTTCCAAGGCAAGCTGTTCTCTGAATCGTTTTCTGAGGAACTGGAAGCTTCAGTGCATCAGGGATAGCCTGTTTCACTGGGGGGGTTTCCCTCTTACAGTTTGGATTTGGGAGCAGCCTGGAGCAAGATCCTCATGTCTAGCAGTGCTTTCTCGAGATAATGTGCCATACGGGCTGTGTTTGTGTCAGCACAGCTATTGAAGGCTGAAATTGCAAAGTTGATGTGTTCCTCCATAGGGTTGTAACAGACTCCATAGCCATCTGGAACCACGGGACCAAAACACATCACACAATCTGTCTTGGCTGGGACCTGTGGAGACAATGTGATTAAAACCTTCTGACCAGTCAGAGAAAAATGAAACCATCAAATGCAAACAGCTCTGTCAACAGAAGAAACTCAATAAATCTCATTCAACTGCTCTTGAAGGGTCTTTGGTCAAGCTCACCTCCCACCACAAGTGCTGGATCCTGCCATTTAGCAGCAATGTGTTTTCCTCTGCATTTGCAGAGGACTGCTTCCCCCCCAGGGTAAGCTTCTAAGTCACAAGTAGAACTATTCAGTAAGAATCAGAGCACAGCACTTAACACTAAACTGTTGTGGCTGCTGACTTCATTGATCTCAGTTGGACTTAAACACCAAACACTCTTGGTGATCCTGGCTTTGGTTATGTTAGTGTTTTAAATGTCTGTGAGGGACTGTGGCAGGTGTAAGATCAGATCTGTAGCTTTACGGGATTGGCAGCCAGCTTAGAAATTTCTGACCCAATGTAGATGAGTTTCTAACAGAAAGGAACTGAACAGAAACATGGAGAAGGAAAGCATGAAAAGCAACAGAGAGTGCTCCTGGCTCAGATGAGTTGTACCTGGCTGGTTGAGAGCTTGAAGTGCATTGCAACAGCATAGGCTGTGTCCATGAAGAGCTCAGGAATGCTCACCAGGTCCTCGATCGCCTGGAGCTTCAGCCCCAGCAGGTGCCGGTCTATTGCATTGCCCCGTATGGCCTGGAGGAAAGCAAGGATGGACACATGAAAGCCAGGCCAGCAGCAAGTGAGCAAAACAATTTCTTTGGGTTAAAGAAAAGAACACTTCTAAAAAGTCTCTAAATGTTTAAAGTTAGAAAGAAACTAGATCTTGCCTTTAAGACCAATAGTCTTGTCTGTAAGGACTGAAATTAATCACACCAGTGGAAACAACCTTACAGTTCCTGCCCATGGACTCCCTCCGGTTTAAGGGCTCCTTGTGCAACTTCAGCATTTATCAGCAACAGTGATGGTATGAAATTAAGCTATTGTAATACTTGATTCTCTCCTTTAGGCCAGTCACAAGGGACACTTAACATACCAGCTGGAGAGGATTCAGTCTGTGGCCATAGAGCACTGTCAGATCAGAGTCAGGCCTTTGCAACACTAATAACCACACTGTTGTGTTCAGGTCTTGTCTTTCCCCAGAACTCTCATTTGCTGGGTAAATCCCAAGGACACTCACCATGTCTGTGTATTCCCTGTGGGCCTGTGTGGCTCTCCTCAGCAGGTCTGCTTTCTCCTGGTCCTGAGAACACACAGATCTGTTTAAGTTTTTCTCCAGAATGGAGAACCTAATTTTGGGAATTCTCTAGGATGGAGGACATTTCTGCTTTGTGTGTCTGTATGAAACTAATTTATATTTACTAGATTTAATTTTTACATCATTTTGTTTGACAGCGTTACTTCATTCTGAATAGAGGTCATCCATCAGTAGCAGAACTTAGTTTGAGTAGCTGAACAGCCTTACAAGGGACTTTTTGGTGGGCTCAGAAACATCCACACGATGTTTTTTCAGTACATGTGACAGAAAAATCAAACCCCTGATGTGTAAAGATACTGCAAGCTACGGTTCAGCTCAATATGGGGTGCAGCCCTCCTTAGCTGAAACCAGATGACACAGGGTTAACCCAATAAGCAGCTTTTCTCTTTTCTGGATTCCTCTTACTCCACTTCTTTGAGATCCTCACCGATTTGTCAGGGCTGTCCATGGATTGCACAAACTTGAGGGAGGCCACAGAGGCGGAGCGGATGGTGTCGGTGCGGCCCAGGCGGAACATCCGCAGTGACGCGCTCTCGTACGTGGCACAGGCGTGGCCGTACATCCTGGCACAGGGAGGAGAAACACACACAGGTGACTCTGCCCTGGGAGAGCCTTGTCTGTGCCACCTTTATCAAGTTCATGTGTTTGAGTCTGTCAGTGAGGAGGTGGAGGAATGACCTATGGGAGGTCTTACCTGTAGTATGCCAGCTGCAAGGCCAGCTGGATAAAAGCATCAGGGCTGATCTTCTCTGACTTGGGAAAACCTTTCCCAAATTGATGAAAGACCATGACTTTGATATCCAGATCTTCGACCAATCTATGAGGAAAGAAAGAGGAACTGTTGCTTTGTTTGTTGCTCATTCTTGAAACACAGAGGAATGGATTTGCTTTCACGAGGCTCAGAGGGAACAGGCCATCTGGATCTGACCTATGCAGGGACAGAGAGCTCCAGCACACATAGATCTCTTTGGGCAGCATCACAGAGGTCGTGTGTGTTTATGCTCCAGTACTCTTAGCTAGATCCAGTAAAGTCTTGCTCTTTCTTAGCAAATAGGATGAATCAGTAATAACCCCTTTCCAGCAACTCTGACCTTATTCCTGGCAGTGCTTTCCAGCTCAGCTCAATGCTGTTGAGCCCAGAAGTCACTGGGAAAGCTCCCTGGCTGCAGTGGGGAAACCCTCATTTAAACCACTGACAGGCTCCAAAGAGGGACATGAATTACTCCCTCAGTCACCCACCCACTTCTCCACTGCTTCATACTCACATGTTGAGGTTTTGCTTTGCATTCTCTATGTCATTCTTGATTTCTGGGGTTATGTTAAACCGCAGCTTTTTGGGCATTGGCAGAGGAACTGTGGGTGATTTGCCCACCTCGGGATTTTTCCTGCACAGAGAAATGATTCTGTTTGACCAGACCTTTGGCATGAGGCTCAGCTAGGAAAGCCAGAGCCTGGATAGAAATGCACAGGAGACCCTAACACCTTGTGACAATGCTCACAGCCTGACAGACCCCTCACAGTGCCAACAAGGGATCTCCCATGCTGAGGAAAAGCAGGGGCAGGACTCACGTGAACTGCACAATGTGATCCAGAAGAGCAACGATGGGTGGGCCTTCGGAGGGAGCATGCTCATAGACAAGACCACAGGAGCCATCTTCAGCAATGATGAACTGGCAGAGAAGCACGAGAGGACAGTGTAGAAGACTGGCAGTGTGTGAGGCAGAAGATACCCAGAGAGACCTCAGTGTTTCCCTGTCTGTATCAGAGCCTGTCCTTGCACACTGAAAGGTCTCCTTTAGCAGGACAGCAGTGGAAGCCTTTCAGCAGATGCAGAAGATCTGACAGCACTGTTACAGTTCTGCAAAATTCCCTGAGTAAGGGTGTGACTGACATATTGGTATGCTCAGTGCTTTGGCCATACAGAGGTTCAATGGTTCTGATTTACTGAGAGCACCCACAGTACAGGAATAGCATTGCCACACGCTGGCTTACCCTTACTTTTCAATCAGCTTGAACATCTAAAGTTTATCCCCTTGGTGAAGAGTTCCAAATGGGAACAAAACAGCTGAAAACACTATGAAGAGTTCAGCAGGTATGAGAAGAGTCCTCTAAAGCACCATTGCTACAATCCACAAGCCAGGATATACCAACTAGGAAAAGCTCCAACAGCAGCTGCTGTTGAAGGATTTTAACAAGACTGAATGGAGAAGAGATCAGAGAGATGCTGTGGGATGGCAGTGCATGTTTCAAAAAACAAAACAAAATGCCATTGGGCAGCTTCTGGCAGAACCAGGAAAAGTGACAAGCCTGGAGGAGATCCAAGGAACAGACCTCCCATCGTTTGGGCTGCCTCCGAGCAGACGAGGCATTGTTCACCGCAGGCAGAAAATTGATTTATAAGGAACACAAAGACCTGCTGCACTGAATAAACGTGGGCAGAGGCAGAAAAGAAACAAGTCCCTGAGGCAGCAACGAGTGCTGGTGACTGCAGGGGGAACCACAGGATCTCACTCCGTCAGCCACCACTCCCTGTCTCCCTTGTTCATCCACTCTCTTGACATGAGAGTGCGAAAGGTTCCTGGGATTTTTTGGACTTTTGTAGTCTCGGGAAACACCTCCAGAGCCACCTCTTGGGCACCTTCAGAGCACCGGGTCTTACCTGCAGGGTTTTGTCGAACCAGCGGTTGCCGCTGTTGAAGCGGCTGCCGCCGCCGTGCAGCATCTGCGCGGCCACGCGGCTCTTGTAGATGTCGTCAGACACCCGGGGCATGGGGGCGTCCAGGCACACGGTGCAGATGCTCTTCTCAATCACACGCACGGACTCCTTGTTGGTCTTGTCTGGGAGAGAAATGAACCGTGAGTAAGAGGGAGTTGTGTCACTGGAAGGAGATGGAAATTTGAAAGAGTTGAGTTTGAAGGACGCGGTGTTGGGTTCCCACTGTACCTCAGTGGGAGTGTACACAGCTATTGTAATTGCAGCCAGCTGGGTTGTTACAGGTGTGAACATGTTGCATTCACCCTCCTTTCTTCACTTTTCTTACACCCTACCCATCTGTAAGGCAACAAACTCAGGGATTTCACTAAACTTCACACTTTGAATCTGTACCTTCCAACCAAAAAATTACAATAGATTGCAATGATTGCTTCTTCAAGGTGGAAAGCTCATGTTACCTGTCCAAAACAAGCTTCCAAAAGAAAGACCTGAGCAGAGCATAGTAGTGAGGTTTGTTATTCAAGAATCTGCAGTGTTTGTAAGCACTTGTGTGTTAGGGGCTCTACAGACCGACCTTTCAGGAGGTTGTTGTAGGCTTTTGCCCAGCTGTTTCGGTGGTTGGTGGTGAGGATCCCAATAGGTTCTTTGTTTGTTTGGAGGGAGGTGTTCCAAATCTTCTCCAGCTGGATGAAGAGCTGGTCAGCAGTAAGGGGAGATCCATCACTGTTGTAAACATCCAGTTCAAAGAACTAAAGGTGAGAAGAGCAGACGAGGACAGAGACAGAATGTGAGAGAAGATAATTATTGTCCAACTTCAGAAACTGGGAACAGCTGCTTTGAGAAGGTAAGACCTGGCTGAACTCAGCTTGCAAGACCTTTGAAGGATGCTGAGAATTGAGAGACCCAAGTCCAGCTTCCCTTGCAGGGCATAAATACAGTCTTGGTTTTATGAAGCCAAGGTAACAAGGACCAATGAGGAATTCCTGTTTCTGAGATTAAGTTGCAGTGGGAGGGTTTGTTTTCCAATTTCCACTTTCAGTTTCCAGTTGAGACATGGTCTCTGGGCTTTGAGAGACAGTGACAAGAAACAGAGGAAGACAGTATTTTTCTGTCTCTAGTCTGTTGCTTACACATGGCAATTCTGCTGCTGGCCGAAGGTGATAAACAGAGCAGGAACAAATCCCTGGTGAGGCAAACCTTGTGGGCAGAGACTTTGTTATTCCCTTTCCTCTGGATAACAGCTAGCAAAAGGGACACCTGCACCTCAACAAACCTTGAAAACCCAGCAGCTGCCCTACCTGGAAGTTGTGAACGACTGTGATGTGTCTGGACTGCTTTTTGCCTTTGGCGTAGTTGACAATGGAGTCCCGCTTGGGCCCGGGAATGCGGCAGGATGAGAGGATCTGGTAGTACTGGTTCATACACAGGGGCTTCCCACCCATGTACTCCACTGGAAGGGTCTCACTGGACACAGCAAGGTAAGGAAGAAGGAGAGAACAAATCAGTGTGAGCACACCTGTGCTCCCCACACAGGTTACATGCTCAGCCCTGCAGCCACTCACTCACTCACTCACTCACTCACTCACTCACTCACTCACTCACTCACTCACTCACCCTAGCAAAACCTAAGTGTTGGAGGCATAAAAAGGGGTTGTCCTTCCCCATTCCTATCAGCTTTCTTAGTACAGGCTACAAAAAAATGTCTGTTTGCTGGCCTTTCATTTGGGAAGGGGAAAAAATAGTCCTTTCTGTGACACCAGAATCAGATCTCTGGACCTACTCCATGGCTGTAGTTCTGAGTGACGAGTGTCTGATGTGCTGATATGACTCAGTAACTAGGCAGGGGCTCAATCACTCCCTTCTGCAGTCATATTCCAACTACCCTGAACTTTGTCTGGCTGTTGGTGTTGATAAACATATTTTTGGACCTTAAATAAGGCATGTCCAGCAGAGATTTGCTGATGACTGAAAGATAAAGGGTAAGGGAGGAACAAATTTCTCTAGAGCTTGTCACATCTAGCTGGGAGATGAGAAACACCAGGAACCCAAAATTAGAGACTTAGATTCCTGCTGCCTGAATGGTAGCTTGGCCTGTGAGCAAACAGAAGTGCAAAGCTCCATGGGACTGTCAGTTGTGCTCGCTCCCTCCAAGCACGTTCCCATAAGGTAAACAACGTGAAGACAGAAGAGTTAAGTTTGCTTTTTTCCACTGGAGGGGACTGTGACAGTGAGCAGTGCTGGGGATTACAGTATGTCTTTTCAAGTATGTACTGTCATCTCTTGCCTTTCTTCGTGGGAGATTTATGGACTCAGCCTCTCTGACATTAAGGAAGGTGTGAGCTCTCAGGAGGGTCAGTAACTCACTTGTCAATCATGGTCTTGAAATCCAGGATACCCTCGATCAGCTTGGCAGCAAACCTGGAAAAATACCAAATGTAACAAGCTGAGATCAAGCAGAGACTGTCTGGGGCTGAGGGACGAGCTGAGGAGGATTAGCAGAGATGTTCTCTGCTCCTTGAAAGCTCAGCATTTCTGCCAAGCCCCTGTTGTGCCCATCTCTGGTTCACTGACACAGCCACTCTGGGCTGTGACTTGAGATTGCTGGAAAGTCGTACCATGTGGCACTTTCTTTTTTTATGTGTATTACTATACAGCCAAGGAACTCTGGACAGGTCATGCATTAATGACCCTCTAACAGCAGTGTTTGCTACTGATGTGTTATTAATTTATCACATCTGAGTTCTGATTCTCAGCATTAAAACAGTACCAAGAGAAGGAGATTTCTGCCCTTCTCTGGCTGGGGGCCACCTTGGAGCGTCATGCCAAGATGCAGCTGTTTCTCCCTTGCATCCAAAACACCACTGCTGACTGAATTCCTACCCCAGGGAATATCCTGCTGCTAACACAAGTCCGGAGAACCTTCCTCTGGCATTGAGGGCTTGGAAATAAAGCAGATGTACTGCATGTGGACACTGAGATGTTGTGTTTACCAGGATCAACAGAAACACTGCCAATGCCAGCTCCCAGCAGGGCTGTGACAAGCCACATCAAGCTGCTTAGCTGGAAGTGACAGATTGGCCTTCTCTGACATGGGAGCTCCCACCTGTCCCTGAAGGAAGGAGGTCACTGGGACAGGAGGTTGTGCTGCCTGAGTGAGGTGGTGCCAACATTTGGCATTTGCAGGCAGTATCCTTGAGATTGGCTCAGCCTTCCCATCCCTGGGAAAGATCAAAGGACACAACTCCGAGAAACTAAGGGTTCTGTGAAATATTCTGCAAAGTAGTTTTCAATGAAAATTTCTCAGCCTTATTGCAAAACATGAGGGAAATGCCAGTGAGAGAGTCTATTTCCTTCCAGAGAATGAACAGCCTGGAAGCAGAGTTTGGGCTCGAAGAGAGGGGGGAAGCTGACTGACTTGTTTTCAGCCAGCAGTTTTGCCAGGTTAAGGAGTAAAAAACCACCACTTTCCAAATTTGCCTTCTGCTTTTGGAAGCTTTAGTTTCAAGCTGCACTGTCAAACTTCTTTGTACAGCCACAAACTACCCAAACACACATTTAGATTGTACTTTACACAGGAGCCAACCTTCTTATGCAGCTGCTGAATTCCACTGTTTGGGCACTTGCAATTCTCCAGATTATTTGGAAAACTTAAGAGTGAATAATAGGACAGAAAGCTTTCAAGACATTTGTGTACTCTTGCACTGTTGTAAGGCTAATCCTGTGCTCAGGTGTATCGGGGAGTGGGAAGGAGGATTTATTCCCAGCCTTACTGATCCCTTGGCTGGTACTTTTGATCTGCCAGGACAGTGCTGACTGGTATCTGTGGCAAAGGTAACTGTGTAAAGGTTGGTGCTAAAGTTTTGCAGGTGGATTCAAAACACTATCCTAGTGGTGGTTAAAAATTAAAGGGAGCCCACGAGGAAAGGAGAGCATGGCAGGGTCTGATTGCAAGGAAAAGCTTGGAGTGGAAAGATGGGTCACTGTGAAGTTTCCCAAACCATGAATCACAATAGGGGACAGTCTCTGTCAGGCTCCCCCGTCCCTATAAACTAGCAAACTCCAGAGGCATTTCTGGGTGATTTCCTTTACGTGCCTGGGTTCTTTTTATGCCTCCTCTAACTGCACACACAACCACAGTGCCTCCAGTACCTCCTCAAAATGCCTCCAGCCAGTGATTGGACCATTTTGCAGTGAAGATCTGTGCTTGAGCAAAGATCTAAACGTAGTTTCTCAGTCCCTGTTTAAAACCTGAACCACTAGACTCTCTGGTTTTCTCCCCTGATTAAATATTTAGTCTGGTGCAACCAGGAGTTTCCTTACAGCCTGGCAGCCTTGCCCTTACAGCAGAGACAGCTCAGACCAGGGGACCACATTGTAATTACTCATTCCCAATCTATCTTAATACCCTCATCCCTGTTGAGCACAGAAAGCTCATCCCACCTATAACCTAAGGGAAGGTAGAAAAGGATTTTACCTGAGCTGACCTTGTCGATCCAGAAAATCCTGCTTGGGTAAAACCACACCTGGGCTGGAGTGGACCACAACTGGCAGGCGATATTCCAGGTAAGCTGTCTTCAGCCACCAGTCTGAGAGCTGGGATGGAGAAAGAAAACATGCAGGGAGCTGCTGCTGCCCAAGCCAAGCCTGGCTGCTCCCAGTTCTGTCCCACATTTTGCAAACAAAGTGTTTGGGGTCTGTACTATGCGGGCAGAAAGGGAAATGAGGATTTGAGCAAGGCATGGGGGGCTTTTGTTGCAGGGCTTAAGCAGAGGGTTTCCTTCAGCTTCTTGGGGCAGCTGTGTGATGCTGATAGGTTCAAGCAGGGCCAGTGACACCCTGTTCTGCTCACCCAAGTCCTGGTTAGAAGTTTGCACAGCTTGGGGAGATGAGCAGCAAACTGGTCAGGGAGGTGATGCCATTAAAACACAGGTGTCAGTGCATGCAGCCAGGACAGGGAAAAGATGCACATCAGCCCTCCACCCTCCCTAACCAGAGCTGGGGCCAGAGCCCTGACCTACCCAGTTCTCTGTTTTCTTGGCTCTTCTCTCCAGGCCTTTCTGCAGCCTCTCCCCGACGCCTCCCGGCTTGCGGAACTCAGCCACCAGCTCCTGCGTGTGGCTCAGCTCCTCGGGGCTGACGATGGGCTGCAGGGCCAGCAGGTACCGATCCAGGGTCTGCTGCAGTGGTGGCACGGGCAGGTAGGGCAGCGCTTCCTGGTGCAGCTGGAATCTGCCTGGGATCTTGTTTAGAGCTGTCTGCTTCAGCAGGCCACAAGGCCTGGCCTGAAAAGCACAGAGTAAATGTCGAGACAAAACTTCCCCTGAGGTAGCAAAGAACCTGGATCTAGGAGTCTCCATCCCAGCCTCTCTGTGGGCACATGGGTGTCCCAGCCTGGGAGCAGAGCACAGTGCTGGAGAGGGTGCAGGACATCCAGGAAAGCTGTGAAAGAGAAACTGCATCTCCCAAGATTCCTATTCTCAGCTTCTCAGAGAAAATGCTGCTGGGATGACAACACATCTCCCAACTCTCTGGACACCTTCCAGCTGAGAGTCTCCATACGATGGACAAAGTCAAACCCTTCCATCCCATGGTAAGTGGGAAAAAAGTTGTGAAAAAAATAATCCTCTTATGTGTACTATCAGAAACTTTCATTATTTCTTACAAAAGTGTAAGGCTAAAAAGCAGAACCCTTGTGCCAAAGCAAACTACCCTTTTGGCTTTGAGCAGGCAGAATTTAGCTAAGTTTGGGGAAAGATTAAAATGCCTCTTCTCTGCCTATTCAGGAGATTGTGGGTGATGCCAAAAGGCTCCTGAGATCCAGTTGGGTCATGTGAGAGCAAAAGCCTTAGAAAGCACCAACCTGTTCCCTGGCTGGAGAAATATAACAGAGCAAACCCAAGTGTTCACCAGGAAATCAACTCACCAGTTTTCCCCAAAAAGAATAACAACATCCTTTTGGATCAACAGGGTTGGACATTCTTCAGTTTGAAGATGTTTTCAATAGTACTCTCACGGTTTCCAGTTCCCTCTGCACCTCCCTCTCCCATGAAGCTACTAAATCAGACACTCCTGCAGGACTCTGGACTTTGCATTGTCAGTATATTGAGAATGCAAAGCCACTGAGAACATTCCCTTTGGCTTCTAAAGCAGTGAGAAAATAGCTGTCCCACACCTCCACCCAGCTGTTAAGCACAGAAAAGAAAGGGCTAAATCTACAAGATTACAAAGCCCCCCCAGAAACTGCCGTGTTTTTGGGCAGTTAGGTCTTTGTGGGACCTGGGAAGAGCTGTGAGATTGAGGTTTGGAAAAGGAATGAGAAAAACAATAGGAGGAGGAATTACTGAAGCATGAAAGAAGAGTGGGACTGGGAGGAAAAGAAAGGTGTTGATCGTAGCAGCTTGGGCATACTGTACCTTCTCTGCTTGCTTCTGCTTCAGCCTATCCATGGCTGGTAGGACAGAAAAGCCCGTAAACCTCTCCCTCCTGTGGCCTGTGTGGGTCTCCTCTTCCACCTGACAATGTGCTGCCCCTGCAGGGCGTCACCTCATTAGCCAATCGTGCCCTCTGCCACATGACTGCTCCGATCAGAGGGCTCAAGGGCTGGCACAGCCCCGACAGGGGACAGGTATTATCAGACCACTGGGTTGCGACAACTGCCCTGAAGGTGCCCCTCTGGGCAGCTGATCGATACCTGGCTAGAGCCTCTCTCTGCCCGAGCTCTGTGCTCCAATTACCGCAGAAGTGGGGATGCTGTTCCTTCAGCCTTTGCCTGGACCCTGAAACTACTGTGGCTGCTGGGAGAGATACCTGGACATAAGGCAGGAGAGACCCCAGTTTATGTCCTGGAGGTGGCACCATGGGCAGTACCTGAACTGCCTTCACTCCCCATGCATGTGTGGTCATTACTGCAAGCTGAGACTCTGGGCAGTTCTGGGTTGTCAACTCTTAGGAAAAAAAAAAATGAAACTAACCAAAAAGTATCTCCACGGCAAAGCAATGAGAGTGCCATGCAGTCACAAGGAATATCAGCCCCTCCTTCATGTCTAATGAATTGAGGGCAGACAAGCACAGTCTGCTCTGCACAGCTTGAATAGAGTATGATGATTCCAAATAAACAGCTGCAGATTTTCCATGTGGTAACAATGAAAATCCCAAAACAAACCCATGGAAGCCACTGTATGTTAAAATGTGGAATGCATTTGTTATCTTCCTCTTTTCTGTCCCCTGCTTGTTTGGTTTGGGGTTAAACTCAAGGATTTGGTGGGAGGAGGAGCAGTGATCAGACCTGAGGAGGCAGCTGGCAGCAAACCAGAGGGGACAGCCCAACCCTCCCCACAAGCAGCAGGAAAACGAACACCAGTGGAGCAGGATGTACAAACAGGGCCAGCCTGTGGGCTGGCATTGCTGCCAAGCCATGTTCCAACACAGCAAAGAATCTTTTCCAGTGCCTGCAAAGCTGGTGGGAAAGGAAATCCACCTGCTGGGGTCAGAAGGAATTTCATAGCTGATTCTTAGCACAGCCACAGCATTGAGTGTCAGGATGTCAGAGGTTTGTCTTTTATTTTTAAATCAGCCCCAACTGGAGATCTCAGTACAAGAAAGACAAGGCACTGCTGGAGAGGGTCCAGAGGAGGACATAAAGATAATTAAGGGACTTGAGTATCTCTCGTATGAGGAGAGTGAGAGGCTGTGTAAATTCGTCCTATTTAATCTGAAGAAGAGGAGGCTGACAGGGAATCTCAACAATCCATATAAATATCATCGAGGTGGGCGTCAAGAGGGTGGTGCCAGACTCTCTTCAGTGGTGTGCAGTGACAGGAGAGAGAGCAATGGCCGTAGACTAAAACACAAGAAAGCCTGCCCTCAACATGAGGAATAACTTTTTTACATTGAGGATGGCAGAGCACTGTGCCCTAGTGTCCAGGGATGGCGTGGAGCCTCCCACTCTAGAGACATTCCAAACCCACCTGGACACGTTCCTGTGTCACCTGCTGTAGGACACCCTGCGATGGCAGGGGGGTTAGACAGGCCGATCTCCAGAGATCCACACCTTCCACCCCCGACAGTTCTGGGACTGTCATCTCCACCCTGGACAGCTTTACCGTGCACGCTGCCGCCAGGCACGGCAAGGAACCGGCGGCTGTGGGGGACTGACCAGCAGGGCCCGTGCCCCGCTCCGGGACAGGTGGCACCAAGCCCATCCGAACCCACCCGGCCGCACAGTCCTGACCGGGAACCGGGCTCGTACTCCAGGCTGGGGAGCGGGGCTGGACCCGACAGCGGCACCACCGCTAAAGGCCCCGCACAGACCCGGGCTCGCCGCCCGCCCACCCCGTACCCTGCCCGGTGCAGGAACCCTCGACCAGCCCGGCCGCCACCTCGCACCCTGTCCCCGACCGGTCCTGGCGGAGCTGCCCCTCCCGGTGTCGCTCTTACCGCAGCCCTGGCCACCAAGGCGAGCATGGTCCCGCGCCCCGAGCCCCGGGCCCGCCGCAAGGACACCCCGGCCGCCGCCGCCGCCGCCGCTCCACCGCCCCGGGGCGGGGCTTCCCCACCGCCATCTTGGAGTGGGGCGAATCCCGCGTTGCCATCTTTGAGAAGGGCAGAGTGATGCTTTGAGCGGACGGAGCGCAGCGACCGGTGTCAGTAGCCGTGTTGCGGTCCCTCTCTCCGCTTCCTCTTCCAGAAGACGGTGAGGAGAGTATTCCTGTCTTCCTTCTCGCCCCTCCAAGCCTCCACTCCCCTTCGTGCACACCCGTCCTTCTCCGGTGTGGGCAGGAAGGGCCGCGCCCTGCACAAACATGGCGGCGTAGGCGCGACGGTGGCCGGCAGGGGCCGTTCCGCCGTGTGACAGCCCCAGGAACGACAGCGCCGGGCGGCGTGCCCTGCTCAAAGATGGCCGCCGGCGGCTTCGGCGTGCGCGGAGGTGGGAGGTGAGAGGCGGCCGGGCCGGGCTGCGGGAAGATGGCAGAGAGCGAGCGGCGGGCAGGTGAGGGGCGGCCGTGGGGCTCTGGGAACCACCGGGCTGGGGTCTGCGCTCAGGGCCTCTCAGAGGCGTGCTCGGGGCTGGGGAGCGCCGGTACAGGGCCCTGCGCTCTGGGGTGCTGGGCCGAGAGCGCCAGGCCTGGATTGCGGGAGGCGGTGGCAGCAGCAGCAGCGCCCGGCCCGGGGAGGGGAAGGGAGGGGGGATTTTCTGAGGGTATGAAGGAGCTGGGAACCGTGAGGCTTGGCACCACCCCAGGGCGAAGTTGGGTGGTGGGGAATGAGCCTCTGGATCGGGGATCCCTGTGAGCCCCAGCCCGGTTTTGTGACTGGTTCCCGTGCTGAGCCGGGTGGCCTTTGAGTCCCCGTCCTCACACCGTGACACAAGCCTGAAAGTAAAGCTGACCCACTGCGCTCCCGTCTCCATCAAACCAGCAGGCTTGGGTTCCCATGTATTCATCCCAGAATACCGTAACCCCTGCAGCCCTCACTGTTCACTTCTTTGAGTATTCCCGGTCTCCTCACCAAGAGGAATTGCACAAAGTGTGGGTCAGAAACAGTGATAGCTGAGAAACAAATGCAAAGAGATGAAAGGAGTTCTGTTAATGGCAAACACCCAGATCAGGATACTGCCCTGGGATTTATGTGTCACCTGTGCTGATGGACACATCAGTGTTTGCCTTTTCACATCACTGCTCAGGAGTTTTTTATTGTTTTCATGTTACAAACTCTTAAAAGCACAGCTCCATTGGCGTGGTGCCAGTTGCTCTGAGTTGTGTGCTGAATTTTCAGAAGAGAGGCACACGTGTCTTTAATTTAAATTCATCATATGTTGTTAATCTTATCCTCGTACCTGGAAGTTTTGCTGTAACTTCTGCAGGAATGAACTGAATATTGCAACATTCAGTGCAGGAGATGAGGCTGAATTTATTCTGTGCATGGGGAATGTGAAAGGCAGAGAAGTCAAATGACTGTCAAAGGTTGTATGACAAATCTACAGCAGACTCTGTGTGGTTTGTGGGACTTTGGATACCTTTTAATCTTATCTGCATGCTAGAGAGCATTGTGGAAAAGGCTGCTGATGCTTCTGGATGGTGTTTTCTATTTAAATGCAGCTGATGATATTTTAAGGAGTTGGAGTTTGGTGGTATTTTATAGAGAGACAATGTCTGAACTGGCTGGGTTGACTGCAGTTGCTGGAGTGTGTCAGGGCAGCTGGTACTGCAGAAGTGCCTGCAGATTTTCTGGGATTAAAAAGGTGAACTGAGTTTATTATTTATTTCTGGCAGAATTTATAAATTGACATTAGTGCCCAGGTTCCTTGACTGCTCTCTGCACTGCCTCTTGCTATTAAAAGTTGCAGTTACAGGAACATAATGCAAATTACTTTAAACCTCCTGGAACTTTCTGGTTCTGCAGGTTGGGCCCTGGGTTTAGATGCTGAGGAAAAGAGCTTCTCTAATTCATTAGCAACTCACATTTGCATGAAATGTTGCATTGCTTTGAAATAATCTTCACAGCTTCCACCTGGAAAGAGGCTGTGTCCTGTCATCCCCCAAATCCTGGTGCTGCCCTGACCAGAGCTGTGGCTCTGGGCTGCATTTATTGCACTGCTCCAGCTTGTCTATGCAGGTCGGGCTTAACTCTTTAAAACGAGACAGAGTTGGTTTGTAGGAGAGCCAGTGCTTCAGCATGACCTGAGACTTGGCTGCACTAGACAGAAATAATTAAGCTGGCTGGATGTTGCCTTTATTATCTCCTGCACTAGTCTGTCTGTGTGTGAATGGGAAATGCATCTTTAGATGAAAACAGAAACAGTGCTTCTGTCTGAAGGCCTGCAGAGTCCTTAGGAGGAGGTTGGTGAGGAGGGCTTGGTGACATTACAGCCCAGCTGGGATGGATTTGTGTGCTTTGTATCTCCTGAGAAATAAAG